ACGCTGGGAATATCCACTGAGGGTGCAGAGCCCACAGCATAAGGCAATACAGAGCTGTAGTCACCGTAGGCTGAAGTAATAAAATCACAGAATCACAGAATGGTTTGGGTTGGAAAGGACCTCAAAGATCATCTAGTTCAACCTCCTGCTATGGGCGTGTGACTTAGTAAATTCGTTCAGTGTTCTTAAGCTGTAAAATCTTAAGAATCTTAAATGCTATAAATAAAATAAACTAATAAAAATTAAAGTAAGCATTTCTGACTCTGTAGGTTCTTACTGTTCCTGCTAACTATAATAACTGTAAATATGAATTCAAGCTTATGTATAAAAAGCACAGTAAAATGGACTGTGTTTTTAGATGCCCAATCTGACTTGTTAGCTGTCATTTTTAAGTGTCTTCATCTATTCTTGTGTGCTGCTGTGGTGTCAGTTGCACAGTTGCCAGGGAAAATGGGACTTCTGTACGGTAGACTCAAAGGTGGGGGCAGAATGCAGCTGATCTAACTATTATGTGCATCTAGAGTGGGCTGTGTTTAAAACTCTACCATTTTTGAAACTGAATCCTGAAGAAGCTTTATGTCACTTGGACTGCTGACATGTTTCTGTGATGGAATCATTTTAATGGAGTGTTCTGAAGCAGTAGATACAGGACAACTCCTCAGGCTCTGTTGCTCAGCTTGAGAGCTGCATAGGGGTCCAGGAGTGTAGGAAAAAATGCTGATTCTTAAGACAGTGTGCATTTTCTTCCCAGTCTCCATTTCAGAGACAGAAAAGGTACCCTTCATCTTTAAAAGGCTGAACTCTTTCACGCAGGGAAGTTGGAACTAAACGATCTTAAGGTTCTTTCCAACCCTGACTATTCTATGGTTCTATGAGAAGCTTGTGCAACTCCTGTTGATGTAAAATCAATAAACATGATTTGTATTTTTAAGAGTGAGTATTTCCTCCATGTGGCTGTTTCAGAGAAAAACAGAGTTTTGAGATCTGGGGCCAAGCGCTACATTTATGAAGAATCCCTGCTGACTTGAATGGGAGCTGCAGAAAGGATGTGTCATGTAATCATAGAATAGTTAGGGCTGGAAAGGACATAAAGATCATCTAGTGTCACTTGTGTTCATCACCCTTGCAGCTTGTCTGATGCGTGTGGTGCTTACATGAGAGGCCTCTGAGGAAAAGCAGGGATTTGGAAGGCTAGAAGTTGTCTTGAAATGCTTCCTAAACACACTGATGGACAGTGACTGGAATTCAGTTTGTGAACTCAGTGACTAGAGGAGTTCACAGTTTGTAAGAGTGGCAAGTAATACCAGAATGATCAGGTGGGTGATCTGATTGCAGTTTGGAGAAATCCCTGCACATCTCAGTGAGTGAATCTGATAGCCAGTGCATCGATATAGTACGTCTGCTTTCTAGAGCCCAGCAAAAACCAGACTGCACAAAACAGTCATTTTTGTAGTCTTCACACTTGGTGCTGGGTAACTCTTTTCCCTAGTAGCTGAATGTAGAAACCCTAGTAATAATAATAATCACATAACCTAAATGGTCTGTTTTCTCTGTAAGAAATAATCTGATTATTGTACAATTCCAGGATCAGTTTGAATACTGATGTGCATGTATACATGGTCACATGGTTTCAGGACCTGGCTCTATGGTCTATGGAAGTTAGTCTCTGCTTGCTTGAGCCCTTTGGCGTGTGAGCTTCTTGGGGATGCGGCTGTTTGAGGATGCCCTGGAGCAGGAGTTGTCTCCTCAGAATTAGTGGAGTGGGGATCTTGTCAGCACAATGGGCTGAGTTGCAGCTCTGTCCCAAAGCTCTGCAGCTGCATCCCTCAGCCTGTTGTGAGAATGCCCAAATGCCCAGCATTGATTTCTGAATGCCAGGGATTTGCAGCAGGGAATGCTTGGATTATGTGTGTGTACATATATGTATATGTATAGATATACATATATATGAAGATTCATGCCCATCCAAATGACTTCCAAAAGCATTTTGACTAGCATAAAAATCAGTATGAATCAAGAGTATTCCCTGGAAAAGGATACAATTTACCAGTTGGATAACTGTGACTGGTTTTGTTCATTTCTGCTCTAGTGTTTTCTAAGCACTTGTTTATTAGACAAATTAGCAGGTAACAGTTTTACTCAAGTTTTAAATGCAGATCCGTTCTTCCTTTGCTGTGGATCCAGCCTGCAGAGCTGACTGACAACTTGTGCCACTGAGCATGTCTGCAAATGAGTATTTTTAGATATATGAAATCTATGATTAAAACAGTTGTATCACTCATGGATAACATGGTCCTTTTATATCTTTATCCCTTGAAGCTGGAGATAACTAAGAAATTAAAATAGGCTCTACAATTAATTTTCTCATGTTTAATGAGAAGTCTTATTTTCCACTATGGTGTCAGTACCTCCTCAGAACAAACGTTTCAACTACAACAATAAAGCTATACTTGCTGATATGTATGCAGTTTGCTGCTGTATTAGAAAGATTTTCTGCTTGTGCCACTCAATTGTGAAGGCAAAGCTTGTAATGCAGATTTGCTCACACTGAGGCATGGTGTTTTCTGTATTTTGGGAACATGACTTTGGAATTTTTTGGAAAAGACAGGGGATCAACTCTGATGAAGAGAAAAATGAATGCTTGTGAGCAGGAAGCAGTGCTACTGACTTGGTAACATCTCACCAGGTTTTGATGTATTGATGCTGTTATGTTTAAAGGTACTGGAATCCAACCCACTGTTACTAATCTAGAAAGACAGGATTTTCTAGGTATGACTTCTACACTTTATCCCAACACTGCACCAGCTAGCAGGAAGGAGAAAAGTAACTGTTACAGCTGAACCCAGGACACCCTTCAAAGGTGCCTTTCCTACCCCTCTTATTCACCCATCTCTAGCAGCACCTAGGAGTGCCTGTTTTGTTCTTTCTTTTCTTGGACTATTAGGAGTTTGTTACCCTTTAAATGGCTAACTAAAAGGCACTGAAATAAGGTGAAATTCATCTTACTGTAAGAACTGCTATCAGCTAGCAGTATTGTATGCATGCTACTTGTAGTGTGCATATACTAGCACATACAGTATGAAATCCTTATAAAGAAATATGGTAGTAACCATTTTTTTTCAAATGAAGTGGTCCTCATGTCATGACCTTTTAGTCTAGTTTGTGATGATACAGTAGAAAGAAGTTTAATTTCTCAGTCTAATGACTAATGGTTTTAAGGATGCTCTATTTGTGAAAAAGTTCTACTTGTTGAAATTACTCTGTGTAGAGGAAGAGCCAGGGTTTGTTTTAAGGCTTTTGATAAAAACATGATCGTATTTTGTTCTCATGAAACATTCCTATATGACATATAATACTATTTTTTTTTTTTAATGAGTAGTCACTTTCACGTGTCATAAGGGAGGTTTCATTGTCAATGCAGGAATCATAGGATCATAGAATCACAGAATGATTTGGGCTGGAAAGGGCCTTAAGATCATCCCGTTCCACCCACCCTGCCATGGGCAGGGACACCTTCCACTAGAGCAGGTTGGCCAAGGCACTGTCCATCCTGGCCTTGAACAGTGCTGGAGTGAAGCATTTACCATTTCTCTGCCAGAGCCTCAGCACCCTCACAGGGAAGAACTTTTTCCTTAGATCTAACCTGAATTTCCCCTGTGTCAGTTTCAGGCCATCACCCCTTGTCCTATTGCTGTAGATCCTGTGAGACTGCAAGGAACAACTACTATTACAGCTAGGCAGAAGTGGGGAAATGGAAGCAGGAGAGTAACTTTTCTCTGGTCATCTTACAATGTAATTTCTTTTGGGTGTTCCATCCCCCCCCCCCCCTTTTTTTCTTTTGCAACCAGTATGAAAATAAGGCAGCTTATTGTTCACTTTCATGTGGGCTTATATTGTAATGCAGACTTGTATATAGACGTGTATTTCTAATAATGAAAACATTAATGAGTCTTCAGGTGGTCTCAGCTGGTATGTTGGAAGAATCAGCAAATCAAATGTCTTCAAAATAGACTGGCAAAAAGTCAGTGCATTTAATTTTTTTGGTGTTCTTCAATAAATGTTCTTGCTTTCCTGTGAGCGCCATTTCCAAGAGTATAAAGAAGAGAATCTCAGAGTTTGTGAGGAAAGCAGCTTTCACACAGCTTTTCAGATACCTGTCTTTTTGCATTATGTGATAGCGCAGCTTAATAAAGTCTTATACTTGTTCTTATATTAGTTATATTAGGTTTTTTTCCATTTATGCTCAAACAGATAAACAGCACCTCATTCCTTTTTCGCAATAAAATGTGCTCCTCCTCCCAGTTTCTAATGACATAGTGTAGCAAACCATATATCTTTCAGAAATATGTTTCTTAAAGGCACGGATTGTGACCATAAGTAACAGTGCTTCTGATAGCACAACCCAAGCCTCTTTGCAAGAGGTTGGCCTCAGTGTTGTGGCTGCATTCTATCAAGGGCAAGCAATATGGTGGCTACCAGGTGCTGCATTGATCATTTAGGCTTTGAACCTTTTTGTTTGTATTTCCCCCCCAATAACGGTCATCCCAGAGAAGAGCTCTGTCAACAGATACATGTTCTTCTATTATGAGTAAGAAGACAGGAAGATTAAGGAAAGCAACTAGACTTCAAACATGGCTCCTTCCTGCCCCAGAACAGCATGATTACTGGATGCACTCACACACTCACTTTCCACTTTGTAAAGCCCAGATCAGGGACTGAGCATAAACATGGGAAATTAACTGGTGGAACAAAAGAGAGTAGGAGAGAAAGAGACTGAAAGAGAGAAGCCAGCAGCATGAGACAAAAATTGAGAAGGGCAAACAAATGTAAAACTGGGATTAGTATAAGACTTCAAAGCTGCAGATTTGTCAGTAAGAAGAAAGGGTCTACCCAATGAAGCGGAGAATAAGGATCATGCACCTGAGAAGCTATTGGTCTTCCTCAGAAATAACAACTTTTTCTCAAAGTTTTACCACTTTCAATTGACCCATAGCCAGAACTGCAATTAAACTTCAATATATTTTATAAAAAATAGTACTTAGTTTACTTTCACATATGTGAAGAGATACAATTGCACAATGGTGGTTACAATGGTAGAAATACACTGCGGATAAAATGTTTGCAAGAGATTTAAAAACATATCATACAGCACCACATCTGAAAGTGGGTGATGGCAAAATGAATCAGACTCCATGTCCAAGACAATGAAATTCCTAAATCTTTCTTTTGGAATAAATAAATAAAGAAAGAAAGAAAAGACAATGTGCAATATGTGTCTGACACTACTTGAGCAATAGATTCAAACCAAAAAATGAGGTAAAAAAAGACATTCATGCATGTAAGCCACCGTTAGTCTCTGACTCTAAAATAAGGCAGGTCATAATCTTTTAAAAACTGTCTTTAGCCACTTAAATCCTCTTTAGTGCTTTTCAAGACAAGGTCTTGAGCGACCTTGTAGAATCATGAGTTAAGATGCTTTTATTTCCAATAGGTCATTTTTGACAGGTTCAGCCCTATTTGAAATGCATTATATGGTCGAAAATGTTGCTTTTCCTTAATGAAAAAAGAAATGTAAATTAAAAGGAACCGAGAGAGATGGAAGCTTTTAGAATTTATCACAAATGACACTGCTTTGAGGGAGGGAGATGAGGGAAAAGGAAGGAAAAGGAAGGAAAAGGAAATTATGTGTCATCTTCAGTTTTAATGACATGGAAAAGGGTGACATTAAACAGGACCTGGTGTCCATTATTCCAGGCATAGAGAGCTCTATCTCTTGCATTGTAGTCAAGCATGGATATATGAAAATACTGATTATGGAAAGGAATGTCTGTATACTCATAAGTGGAGGTTTTTGTGGAATAAGAATAGTAGACCTTGGCTCCTGTTAAGTGAGAGTTAGTAACATACAAGGTGCCACAGATCATGAAGGATTCTCCAGCACTTCTCTTTGGGTAGCCTGTGCTCCAGCTCTTCAGCACCTCCAGTGTATCCTGGTTTAGCTGGCTGATGACAATGTTGCCTGCATTTTGGTTGGTCGCATACACAGCCCATAGCCCGATTTCATCTGCCATCAGGTCAATATCAGAAAAGCCACCCCAGGTGTAAGGGTAGACATTGTGAAAGCCAGCATACTCAAGGCTACGCTGTGCAAGCACCCGCCCAGTGTCAAAGCTGTATTTGATGATGATATTGCTCTGATACTTGTTGAAATAGAGGGAGCCATTGTAGACAACATGGTTGGTTCCTGCCCATTTGAATGGAAGGTTGTATGTCCTTGATTCAGCCCCACTGACAAAGTCTGCAACTGATTTATATTCACGGACAATTTTATTGTTAGTGTAACCATCCATGTACCAGACCTGGAAAGAAAACAAAGATTGGGAGTAAACACCTGGAACACAATATGTGGTATGTGATCATGATATGGCATGATGGATATATTGCAGAAAAAGAAGGAAACAAAAATTTTTTAGGTGTGTAGCAGGCTATCAAAGCACAATATTGTCCAATTACTGACACAAAAGCATGAGGAACTCTTAAGTTTCTGAATCAACGCTTACCTATACAGGTGAAGTCTCAAGAAGATTGTTGCTAACTAAACTGCAGTGTCTGTGTTTTCAGAAAAATGCAATTTTGGATTATTTAGTGTTTGGGCCTCTATGGGGCTTGCTTAAAGATATTCCCAGAGACTAATAATCAAAGATGGAGATGGGAAATGACATATGAGCGAAGCTTAGGAATAAATTTGGTTGAATTTTTTTCAGCTGAACCTCTAATCAGTGCGAAATAGCGTGTCTTCTTAGGAAAGAAACCAAATACAGTAGCAGTGAAGGCCAGTAAAGTTTAGGAACCTTTTTCTTCGTTAACAACAAAACAAAATCAGTACTTCATTTGTTTTTAATGTTCTGTATGCCAGCTTCTATTCCCTCAGGTTTTCCTTCATTTTGCTTTTTCTCCTGTTAATTTATCAGAGGACAAATCAAATTCTGACTAATAAAAGACGAGAATAATTTCTGGCAGTGGAGGAACATGAAGGCTGTCTGGGGAGGGGGTCACAGCAGGGAGAAGGTGCTGGTGGAGGTGAGGGTCCATGGGCACTGGCACTCTGAGGGGGCAGAGGAAACTTCCTCAGGTAGTTGAGGTTCCTGGTGTCAGTAATAAACCTCGATGGACACAGTGGGCAAAGGAATGCTGTATGCATTCTTCAGTTATTACCATTTCTACATTGCCTTTTCTATTGACTTTGTATTTTCCTGTATTCAAAAAATTAACCTTGTGGGTCTCATACGAAGGAAACCTAGTGTTTTGATTGCAAAAGCTCATTTGTGGAGAGAGCACCTCCTCAAAGCTGTGGCCACCTTGAGATCCTATTGCAGATCCAGACCATAATACAGCTTTTATCTGAGTGGCAAAATGGTCTTGAATATAACTTATATATATCTGGGGCCTAATCCGGCAGATTTTGACTGTGCTGCATTATGGGTTATGCTCTTGGGTGAAAGTGTTGATGTTTGCTGTTATATTATCCTGGTTCTTAAAGACCCAAGCCCAGTTAAACACGGTAGGAAGAAAACATGTATGTAGTTGGTTCAGATAGGTGTATGTCATCCCTGAAACAGTTGAAGAAAATGGCCCAAAAGTGCTCATCTAGCTGTTGTCTTTGGATATTTTTGCATGAACACTGTTGCCTTTTCTCTGAAGTTGTTTAACCATGAAAATGATGGAAGCAGCAGAAACATGGAATCATAGAATCATAGAATAGCATGCTTGTGAGTGGAAGCTTCTAGGGGGAAAATATACTTTTAAAGATTAAAATAAAGCAAGCAAAATTCCAGAAGGACACAAAGATACTCAGTGCCTTGACATACTCTGTTATTTTTCTCTGATGCTAATGGATCTGTCATCCAGGCTCCGAATCGGGTTCCAGATGTCTTGACTGTAATGGGGCCTGTAATTTTCATCAGTTTGCCACATGCTGAAATTAGAAGAACAAATACATTAATGCAAATAATTACACACCTCTCCTTGATAGCAGTCAGAGCACAAGACCAATTGCTCTAAACTAGATAGTGGCTCCAGGGGATTTAAACTTATGTTGAAGATGGATTGTCATCTTCACTGTATGAACTTTTCCCAGTTGAACAGTAATATAAATACGTAAAAAAACACAAACAAAAAATCACTTGTGTGTGTTTTTAGCTTTATATATTTTAAAGCACAGTTATTTTTTTGGGCATAAAGTAAAATACAACCTAGTAAAATATCTTTCTGCACTGAACTTTTAATAAGAAATGAAAAGAAGACATACACCCCCTTCACTTTTGCCTTCCAAAAGCTCAATGCAAGGCTAAGGTTGATGGATGGTTCACTTTATCATTGACAAGGGTAACCAAGGAGGGGTTAAGGGCGGACAAGAAAGAATGAGCTTGTAATCAGAAAGTATCACTGTGCAGCAATGCCTGTGTGTGTGACTTGCCCGTGGTTACACACACTGTTCCAGTATGAGGAGGCTGTCTGAAGTTAAGAAGGCAAATATGAAAATTATTCAGCAACATCGGCTAGATTAGTTGGCTTCTGATCCATTAGGTTGTCTCATATTAGACTGTCTGGTAGGAAAATAATGAGAGTCGATATGGTTTTGAATGCTGACCTTCCTAACAGTCCCAAAATCTATATATTTAGGGGACATGAATAACTTAACTATTAGAAACAAGCCGCTGGTGGAGTTCATATGTTTACTAAGAGGCTTAGTATCACACAGTGGTGTGTAAGTCATTAGGTGAAATAGCATGGTTTTGAAGAAAAGATGTTCTGCAAGAATGCAATGTACGTAAATGTTCTGTAAGAATGGAAGAAGTGACATGTTTCATTTATTTTTTAATACAAAAATAACTAGTTCTCCATGATACATGGTTGTGCTACATTGTATAGCCCTATCCATCAAGGAAATGTGGAAAACAAACTGCATCTGGCGTTGAGAGTAAATTTACCCAGTTCTAAAGAGAAGGCACATCAAGCCTGGATTTTCTACTTTATGTTACTGGCAAAGGAACATATTGTGCAAGCCTGTTTCAGTCAAATAGTGGGGGTTAATGCTGTGCTGCCAACTCAGGGGCTGCTTGAAGGGATTTTGGTTATGGCCAAGGAAGTGGGATGTAATGGAAATGAACGTAACTGAGAACATGCTAAGAAGTCAGTGAGCAGGATAGGCTGTGTCTGTTTTCTGGGTCAACAGAAAAGTGTTACTCATATATCTCAATCTATGTAGCTCACAACCTTTTGAAGATATTTTTGAACTTTCCATGTTAGATAATCTTACAGATCTTCTGCAGCTGGTTATACCAGTACATAGGTTTTTATTCTGGAATTCTCTGTAGATAGGCTGCTGGTATTGCGTGCTGAGCGCTGTTTTTCTGCAGCAATGAACTGCTATTAGCTTGGAAAGCAGAGGAGTGCATCCTACCAAGGTGAAAGCTTTTATTTTTAGATGGTATGTTAGTTATGACTCAGAAATAGCTCAGAAATGAGCATGAGATAAACTCAGGCTTCTGAGGGGCTTAATTTGGAATCTGGAATAAAATTATCAGAAAACTAATAATGAGTAGGAAGAAATCGGGACTTTTTATTTTTACGATAATTATAACAGAGTGAATGAGTTAAAGGGTATACTAACTGGTGCCTTTAAAACACAGTATTGAAATTAGTAGGAAAACACCAGAAAAGGTTTTGTAATTCTGAAGCACTATTCCTTCTATTAAGGAAAAAAAAAAAACACCCCACAAACCAACAATAAAATCCAGGAAGCTATATGTGAGATCAAAAATAATCTGTGAAATTGTGCTTCTGAACAGACAAAACTTAAGCAAGAGCCCCTTGCAGAGATGTGGGGGTGCTCACAGAGCCCTCCTCTTGCATACAGCCTGGGTAACACCATGTGTTGGGGTAGGCATCTGAGCGTGCACAGTGCATGTTTCTAGCTAAAGGGTGTTCAGAAATGTGTAGGTTTATTACTGTGTAAGTATCTAGTACTATGGTTTGTCTATTGTATTACTTGTATTGATCCTGAATATATACTTCACTGATTGCCAGTCAAATGCAACCTTTTAATAATGAAATCTTTTCAGCCTGAATTTGATTTAAACTATATGAACTGAGATGCCCTCCCCTGTGATGGAAGACACTGCTTTTAGACAATCTGTCAAAATATATTGAGATACTGTTGGATGTGAAAAAAGAGATGACGTTGTACTTCAGCCAGTAAATTATCAGCAGTTTGAGTCAGGGTATATGTATGCTTATTTCCAGATAGCGTGTAGTGATTGAGAAAAGGAGACTGTTAGGAGAGCTGCTATATAGCTGAGGGGCAACTGACTGAAAAGGTGACAAAGCTTCTCTTTTCAGCATAACACAGTGCATCTTGTAAGAGGCATGAGGATTTTAATACTCCTGCCCTATAGTATGCCCCATCTTTTCCTTGTTCAACACATAAATCTGCTTATTTGAGATATAACTGCATGGAACTGGTATTTAAAACTAAGGAGTAGTACTACAAGTATTTTCAACACTACATTCCCATGGTAGTAATAATTTATAAAGCATCAGCAGGCTTCTACTGTAAACCTCAGCAGCACCTGAGGTCTGTTGGCCTGCTTGCTGTCGGTGTGGGCAGTAAGAAGAAAGCAGCAGAGCCGACAGTGCCCACCTCTGTCTTGTCATCACAGCCTCCTCATAGCTGTGATGACTTAGGCACAGGAGTGTAATATATTAAGTCACTGTTTTCAAAAGAAAGTTATAACTGTTTTCTCCAGTTTTGTCCTTTGGAGTCCTACCCATTCATTGCAGCAGACCTGTATAAATTGGCAGAATCAGGATCACTTACGTTTTTATCATAAAGTACCAAGTGTGCTGTCTGTGCAGAAGTGTTACTGACTTACTAATACAATTATGCTGTGAATATCACAGCATTTTAATGACATATTGCTGCACTATGTAGCTTACCAATGTTTAACATTGAAATAATTAGCGTTACTGATAGAAAGATAATTCCCTTATAGCTTGCCCAAGCCTGTTCTTGTGTTTGATAACAGAAGTTAAATGAGTGACAACTCTTTCAAGAGTAAAGCTCAATATAACGATTAACAGTTCAATCACAAAGCAACGTGAGTTTTCTGTGTGGTTGTAAGCATGTTCATCTTTGCATTCACTGCAAGGCATTTCCCCCACTCATCCACCAGCAGTGTAAGATGTATTGATCTAATCCCAGCCTATATTCTTAGCTGCAGAATGAACCTTACAATTTTTCATGTGGCTATGTCAAAATTGATCTTGTACGCTGAGGTTTCTTGTTAGGGAGTAGTGCTACTAATTTGCTGAAAGGCAGAATCATTTACTTAATACTTCCGTGGCATGGCAAGTCTGGGAGTATGCAATTAAAAAACCTCCAATTAGTTTCCAGTTGAGATTTTATCTCATTTTGCATGTAGGGAAATAGAACATAGACAAATGTTATGTGAAACGAGAAACACTTCTGGGCTGTGAATTTTCTATAGCAGTGAGGTGACATTTTTAACGTGGCCAAAACCTCCTTTATTTTATTGTTGGTTTTTTTGTCTTCTGTTCTTTTTTTTTTTTTTTTCCTGGCAGAAGGGACCATCTGAGGATGTGAAAATAATTCTTGTGGTGGCAGGGAAGCTTTCTTTTACTGGTTGGAAAGTTTTGGTTTATAGCCAACCTCTGCTCTTGAATTCCCTGACAGGAGGACTGGATGTTAATGAGAAGGCAGGTCAAATATATCTCCATATTAGCAAATGTAAGGAAGTTAAGGAACACTAAGGATAAAAGTAGCATTTCTAGGCATTTCTTCTACCACTAAGAGGTGCACCTGGGGTTACACAGAAAGAGTGGGGTTTTTAGAAGCACTCAGATTTTTTCCCTTGACTTTGAAAGAAGCAGCTACCTACATTAGAAAGTCCTAACTGTAACTGATTGTGGTACTTCGAAAATCAAACCTCTGAGTGTTTTCCACCCTAAATTGAACTGTACAAGAAACATCATAACGCGCACTATCTGGGTGTCTGTGGCTTCACTGATCTCTTGTAACAGTTTTGTCCTGTGGACTCCTGTAAGTCTGTGATTTCCTGTATTTATTTATATCAAGAGAGAATTTGAGTGTGAAGTGACCTTTAAAAAAAAAAGTAGATGTATTACCCCTGTAGTCTGGAAGGCTTTCTGGGGCAGAATGCATCTGGAAAGCTGCTTCAAAGGAAGCAAATACCAGCAGAAGTTTCTGACAGACCAAATAGACAGGAGCTGTTTTGAAGATAGCTAGGAATAGGTAACTGATAGTCCCAGTCTCTGTGATGCAAAAGACTATGGGTAGTGCAATACATACCGAGTGAATGTAGGATTTGTAGAAGGGCTAGCAAAGGAAATAAAATCAAACATTCTCTCAGGATGTTCATAAGCATCATTATTCTATTTATTGTAAGTAATAAATAGAGGAAAATGGAGTATTTTTTTTTTCCAGTTGTTGTGCAAATAACTTCCAAGTCTTTTACTGCTTGCGATTTTCTGCTTATGGTCCAATTTTTCATAACATTGTAATGCAAAGGAATGAAGAATTCATTCTTGCTTTAATGGGTATATGTCTGTTGTCCTGCATAACAGAAATCCATGAGGGACTATAGTCTAGTTATTAGAGATTTCTGAGAGTAAGCCTCTGGACTCTTCTGCATGTGTGAAATTACTTGTCGTATAATCTTTAGGAAAGTCATTTATCCTCCTGTGCTGCTTGTTCCTATCTACAAAATGGGGACCTAGTACACAGTTTTGTACTACATATTTGTAAAATTTTTCGAATCCCAAGGGGAAGGATGCTTTGAAGAACAAGCACCACTGCAATCAAAAAAGTAATCTTATGCCTGCACTAGTACCGCTTCTGCCATTGGTGTAGCAACATTTCTTTGAAAATATAGAATATTCTACTTTTGAATTTTTAACTAGAAATGTTACTGTAAAATATTGTTTTGATTCTACAATATAATCAGATGGGGCTGCAAATGACTGTCAGAAAAAGACCCATCTTCTTAAATGTATGTGTGTCTGCGGTGTGCACGATCATATGCGCTCTCTTGCTACGTATTTAATGGCATGCACCCTTCTAAAGTTTTGTGGACTAATTTCTCAGCAGCTTCAGCCTCACTTTTCTTTTACTCCAAAGAGAAGGAGCAAGTTTCAGCCATCACAACTGCTGTGGTAATCATTAAACCTCAGTGAAAGTAAGACAACTGCTTACTGTATGTTAATCAGTGTTGAAAATGTTGCCAGTGCAGATGGAAGATCCCTTTTAAGTGGCCGGGGCGGTATAAATAATGCATTCTATTGCTGAAAAACACCTGCTAGGGAGAAGAATAGAAAATAGCTATTACACATGCTGGTTAGATAATGATACTGTGAAAGCAACAAAATCTGTGAAGATTGGAGCCAGGTCCTGTGGCACATCGGGGCCAGTCTGCCCTTTGCTGCTGTAGGCTTCTGGGCGTCAGATTGGCATGGACAGTCACAGCTGGATCATCTCCAGTGTGGTGAATGTGTCTGGAGAAGTGTAGGCAGCAAAGTGGTTTTTCCTTTAAGCTTGCTGATCTGAACACACAATACCAGGTTTCAGGAGTTACAGTAAGCATAGCTGAAGCTGGTTTTACTTTGAAAGGCACACAGGGGTAGGCCAGAAATACAGCTAGTCCATTAGTAGGTGATCATAAAATTCATTGAAGCATCTAAGACCAGAGAATATTGTCAATAAGGATGAATAAATCTGTATTAGAGCTTGAGAATGCCAAACCCTTTTTAATAATGGATATGCTTAGTAATCTATTTAACGCAAAATTTTTCTCTCTATTGTTAATACACATAATTTTAATAGGGTGTGTTACAGGAATTCAGGATAGATAGGAGAGGAAATAAAGTGTATGAAAAGTAGGGAAATAACTCATGTGAATACACCTAGTCATTCTGATGTATAACATTTATCTTATACAGTAGTCACTTTACAAATCAATCTTACAAGAATATGCTGTAAAAAGCAAAGAAAACCAAGGTACTCCTTAAAGAGAAGTTGATGATCTTACTGGAGCACTCACTTTCAGAAAAGACTGTCTTTGAATTTTCTTGCAGTGCAGCCATTTTCTCCTGGCTGCCTCCTGTCAATGCTGTAATGTGCTATTATGTGTGTGTACTGAGGGGAAAAGAGGATTGTAAGAAATTTCTGTTTTAAGAAGTCTTTCATGTATTTTAGCCCATTGTCACTGCATTATTTCTAGTGTAAAATAAAGAAACTGAAAAGAAATCATTTAAGAGGCTAACCTAACCTAGATTTTTCTCATTCCATTGCCTCACAAAAAATAAAGAGACACCGCATATCAGGTTAATAACGTATTTTATGTCATTTGTAGCATTTAGAAGTAAACATCCTGTTAACGGGGATACTGATCACAGGACTGAACCCTGGAATTCCTTATTTATTCATACTCACTGTTAACTTACAAAGTGTTTATTTCTCATAGATAGAAATGCCAAGAAATTGTTAACTTACTGAGCTTTTTCATGCAGTCTCGAAGCCTGGTTTCTAAACTGAGCACGCGCTGGTGTAGTTCCTCATAGTCATAAGCACCAATTTCTTCCTGAATCCCAGTGAGAACAGTAGACAGATTCCTAATTTCCTCCTTGAACTGGGTAATTAATTTGGCATCCGTTTTATATTGTTCCAGAACTGGGATCAGTGGCAGGAGCTCATCCATCTTTTCTTTCAACTCCTGTTAAAGGCAATCAGATGTGCATTAGGGCAGTTTAAAGGACTTCAATCCTCTAATTCCTTTTTATGTAACATTTATGCCAGATTTTTAAAATTACTTGAAAATTATTATTGATTTTAACTACAGATCTACTATTAGTGTATTGTGAAAGACTTGGAAACCTCAGACTTAACGGTAGTAGGCAGTAGATAAAATGCACAAGACAATAGTTTTTCTACTGAAAGTACACAATTACCTTCAGGTGATCGGAACCAAATCTGCTGAAGGTCTGACTTTGCATCCCCCACTAAGTGTGACTTTCTTGGGAGAAGGGGATTAGGCCTGAATACACAGTGAGGCTCAAGGAGGTCATGCCTGTTTTACAGTGCTGTCATAGTTGGTGAGCTGTTCAATTCCATTTCACTCCTTACAAGTACTGAATTATTTTTTTTTTCTCAATGGCTGTTGGAGACTCTTTAGTTCTGTTCTGGCCACAGAGGTCTTTCTTCTGAAGAAAAAATCTGGGGTTCGTAACTGTGCCTTGTTTCTGTCATCCTGCACTAGCTGCCTTTGCACTGGCAATCCTATTCTTAAACATGGATTGAATAAAATAAGGAATACTGTGGAATCTCTGATTGCCCCTGTCACAGACTTTTGCTGAGTCTCATAGGCTGAGAACTTGTCTCAGTTTGTAATCCTTTCTGGCTGCTAATTTGCCATTTCTTCATCATCTTTTTTAATGTGCTAATCATAGGGGCTTTATTAAAATTAAACTAATCAAGGTTGTTTTCTGGTTGGTTATTATTCTGTAGAAAACCTCCAAGAATCCTTGCAGCCACAAGGTTTTGTTTTATTGAAAAGCAGACAGGGCTGTCCCTGCTCTATCAACCTTATATAGACATTTGAATCTTTCATAATTTGAGGAAACAGCAGGACTTCCATGAGTAAATACCAGGCAGACATGAGGAGAAGCAAGCCTGGACAAAACAAGCCAAAGGATGGAAATAAAGTTGTGTTAGGCACTAGTATTTGGTGGTAATAGAGATTGGGAACAGATGAGGATACATGGGGAGAGGCTATCGAAGGGCTTAAAAAAATCATTAGCTGGAGTAGTCAGCAGGTTAAAAGGGAAAGCAGAAGAGAACTATATGGAAGCCCAAGGACAAGAAAGAGGCGCAGAAGCAGATGTGGTTAGAGGTTAGTGTAGTCACTGACATGTGTGAAGACATGCACATACCATTTCTTGCATCACTTGTGTTAAAGGATGCAGTACACAGGGTAGAATATTTCCAAACTAAATGCCATGAGGGTGTCCAAAGTATTTTGCTAAGGAGAAGTGGAAGAAGCTCACAGGCAGGGTCAGCATTTTTGCTGCTTGAGGATCTACCTCTGAATTTTTGCCTCACAAACATGTCCTAAGACAGCTTGTGAGTTCTGCAGTATCTCTTCATCGCCTAGATAATATATCCATACTGGTTTAACAATTGCTTTCGTACCAGAATTATTATTTACTCAAAATAGAGACTTATATTTGTTGTTAGAAAGTGTATTTTGCATGCAGGTCATCCTAATAGCTAAAGAATTTATTATAAGCAGACATATCATTATAAATGGATTTGATATTATTAGCAGTTCTATTGGTTCTATTCTCAAGAGGTCTTCCAATTACATTATAGTAGCAGAATTACAGAAATTAACACAAAGGAGAATTTTTTTGCTTAAAGGTAAAGCTGGTTTTATTTTACTGCTTTTATTGAAAACTTGAGCTTACTTTATACCTGTTAAAATGACTATTTTTGACTTGGTGACATGGTGAGTAGGCTTTGTGACATAGAAAGCCGAGCTACAGAAGCCAAAGTTTTTGTTACTTCATTTTGAACTGATGAACTTAGGCTTTGGTTCCTTGGAGCAGCGAATCTGCCAAAATCATGGGTAAGCCATGACGGAAAAAAGTGCAAAGCTTGTAAAAACTCTGGAGATAAGTGAAGCTGGGTTTGGTATTTTCCTGATAAAATAATTGTGTTGGTTTCAGCTGACACTCCTAGCTTGCTGCTATGACGAGAGGTCCATGAACTAATTTGTCTTGCAACATGGATATGTGATATAAATACTCTGGCACTTTGTGCCGGATGATCTAAAGGGATAGGCTATATACAGAAAGATCTCCTTTGTCTCAGGAAAGAGAAAGAACTGGAATTTTAGTAGATCAGATTTCAGTAAGCCAACAATATATTGTATTATGTTGACCTGTTAAATCACTCTATAACTTGATTGGCTGGAAATCTGTTTTATACTCCTGGCAAACTCTCAAACTGAAGTTAACTACATGTCCAGTACAAATATTGAATATTTAGAAGGACAGAGTACTTCAGAAATCTGCTACCTTTGACATTGTTTATCAGATATTCAGATGCTGATATTTTGTTCTCCAGGAAAACTGTAATGAGAATGTAGAACATATAATGGCATTATATGAATGTGCTGTCATTGCAGAAATGATTGATGAAGGAAAAAAAGGTTGAGAAGTTTCTTATGTGAAAATAACTGGAGGTGTGTGCTCAAACTGTAAACTAAGAAGGGTGACATAAAGTTTGGTAGTCAGATCATTAGCGTACTTAATTCCTGGTAGAACTGAGACTCATTGGATATTCAGTCTCATGAAAATAACCCCTTTAACCATGTAATTGTTTAGGTATTGAACTTTAGCCCCAATTAGAAAATTAAGATATTTTTATGTGAACTTTCATAAACACTTAAAATGTTCATATTTGCATATATATTTGCTTAACATAATGTGATGCTCAAAATTTATTTTCTAGATCCTATTTTACTGTCTTGCAGCCTCGAAATATGTTTGACACTCGATATTCGAAGAACTTAAATATGTTCTTGTACCAGTCTCTCCTAAAGAGTTACTTCAGATAGCTTTTTCAGAACACACAATGCTATTTTGTAATCCCTGGAACCCTCCTTCCTCACAAAAAGATTGGCTTGTGTTTTTTGTTGTCATTAAAATTCCTTGGAAGTCTCTTTTTAATCACTCAAATGTGAGTAGGTCTGATTGCCCTCCTCCCCATCCCAAATTCAAAATAGCAAACCTTCAGACATGAAATTAGATCTTAATTGTACTGGATAAAAATGACAATAACCTGATTTATTATAGGCTTTCTTCCCTTCAACTGCATTCAATGTGAGGCAACAGTAAAAGTGCAGAACCCTCTAGCAGTTTGCTATTAACTTGATTGGATCTCCCTGTTTATCACTGGAGCTTGAATGAATATAAATTTCTCAGTATGACAAGCATGTTGACACAAAACAAACAGGAATCTGTTTATAGTGACATTTCTCTAATGACTTAATAATTAATAGTTACTCCTTATTATAATTAAATTGAACAGAACAAAAGATTATCATCATAAAGGAAGATTTATTACACTTGTCTTTCTAATGTTGCTCTTGCGTGAGCATTTTGAGCTGAGATCTTAGCAGTCCATGCATTGCTGCTTAGTACATTCCTTCCAGCACGCTTTCAAAGTTATTGTTAAAACAAAACCTACTTGAAAATGCTTTGTCATTAATGTCTTCCGATCATCTTCAATTTGCCGAAACTTGGCCTTCAGCCCTTTCATTTGTGTTTCCATTTTTAAAACGTACTGGAAATCCCTCTGAGTCCGTAGATTTAAAACTTCAATAGATTGGGACATATTCTGAACCTGTTAAAGAAGAACACTCTCTAAATGCACTTTCTGTTGCTATACGTTTTTTTCCTGGTTAGGTAGTTAAATGTCAGGCAATAATATGTGCTTATGTCCATGCTTTAGTTGTGAGTCATTTATACCAAAATATACTTTTAAATTCCATAACTGTTCCATAAATGCTCCATAAATTCCATGACAGTACAGAAATAGGGGAACAGGGCTAACAGGATTACCAGGAGCAAGACCTTGAAGAGGTAAAGAGAGAGGTATCTTTTTAGTACCATTATCAGTGGGCTCAATAAAGACTTTTGGACAGTGGAGTCTACTTTGACATTTGTAGTAGATGCTGACTGTTTTTCAGGATATGCTAGATAGCACATGTTTCCTCTCAAGCAATTTGGGAGGGACAGGACTGAGATTTGGAGATTTTGGTTAGTATGAGGAACATGTTTTTTTTTATTGCTAGTAGGCATTTAAATAATATTTCAGTATAAGGAAATTATGAGACTATCCAGAGATAAGTTGGAGTGTGACCATCATCAAACAGGTGTTTGCTCATGATTTTCTAAGTAGATACAAAATTAGATATTTTACACGATTGTCTCCTTGATAGAAACCCACATTTTTTACAGATGAGTAGGGTGAATGTTCAGGTAACTTCTGTAGAGCAAGTGACTTTGTAGCTATAGCTAGCACTTTTACCAAGAAATGTATTCTAGAACAAAAAGCTTATGTTATAAAAGCAATGCTTTTGCCAGTCATAAAAAGAATACATTTTGCAAGTGCAATTATTCTATTTCAATAAGTGGTTTGCTTTCCCAAAACATGAACAAAGTAGACTGCTGTAAATGTACCGGGCACCTTCCTAATAGAAGACAGTTCTGGCAGTATTCCTGTTGTTTCCAAGAATATGCAATGTTTGAACTGATATTCATGTCTGAAACTAATACACTGTGACCTACAGAATGTGTGGGTTCAGCAAATACTCTTTAAATACTCTTACAAATAGTGTATTTGTTCCGGAATTAGCTGTTGCTAATTAGCAGTTCACAGAAAGTATTTTTAACAAAAAAAAAAAGGTAATGTTTCTTTTTTTCTTTGCTTTCTATTTGTTGAAAGCAGGCAAATGAAGTCCTTCAGGTCTTTGAAGAACTTTGTTTCCATTTGGCAGAAGATGCATTCACATAGAGGCTCTAATTAAATGACTGCGCATGGAGGTAGTGTAGTGATAATATGACATGATACACTCATCATGACCAGAGTTCTAATAATAAGAAAATAGCTTTTAGAGAACTTATGATTTAGGTTCTTTTTTGGGGCAGGTCGAAAACTATGTTGAGACCTTAACACCCCTTTACCTCCCACCTGAAAAGAAAGTAAGACATTTTTACATTAATATTTGAGTGTTTGGGAAACATGCTAAAGCAATGACTCTGGAGGACTGAAGCCTTCCTCTGGTAAGTAAACAAACAGGATGAGGGGAGGTCACTCCTCCTCTGTATACTGGTTTACCAGTGTTCTCTCCCAGATTTCATGCTGTGGTCTCTGTCACAACCTGAAACTAAGTCTCTGATGAAATTGATTTTTAGGAAGGGAAAATATTGAGGGGATCTTTCACTATATTAGCAGATTTTTCTAGAGTGATTTTTCTATAGTTAGAAAAATACTGAAAATTGTATGCTTAAAAACTGTATTTTTAAGTCTACATTTTATGTAGGTTTCCACTGTCTCAAGCCTCAGGTTCTGTACTGCTAGATGTGATACAGTAACTATCACCTTGGTTACTTACACAAGGGAATGCAGAATAATAGTTATTGTTGATGCAAAATAACACTGCACTGGTTTTACTTACATATGCAGTAGTGGATAATACTTGAAGTGAGATTTAGGGTGTTTGGAGAAAAATTGCACCACCAGAGAATGAATAAATAGTATTATTTGAAGAAAAAAAAACAAGAATACTGTAACTTTTTCTCTTCTGTAAAGTCTGCTTTGCAGTGCTGTCATATCTGTATCTTGTCCTTTGTTGATCAGAGACAAGGAATGACCTTCAAGAGTCTCATATGATTGAAGTAGAAGCTGTATTTTAAACCCCACAGCTACAAGCTCCTTTGAGGTGGGATTTGTAACTGGTTTTACACAGAAAAATCAGTCCTGTCTGTGTGTGTATGGAAGAATTTTGGGAGGAGTGAACAAGAGAAAAGATGCAGCTTTGGTTTGCTAGGTAAGTGATTTGGGTTTGGGAAGGTGTGATACAAGGAAAATAGACCAGTGGTGATCAGTGGCAGAATACAGGTAGGGGATATATATCCTGAAGAAATATTTGTATAAGATAATTCTTCAGTACTCCATCATGTATTGAGGGAAAGGAGTGGATTTTGGTGGGAAATGTAGTGCTCAAAAGGAGGAGTTTTTTATGGGGAAGACTTACCTTCTCTAGCAGTTGTCTGAGTTGCCTGCTTTTAGCATCTCTTGAACACAGGTTTTGTTCAGGTGCAACAACAGTGCAAATGCAACGGCCGTCAGGATCCTGGGCTGAGCTATAAACTTGCCACCCTTCCTTGGGGCTAATCTGAGTCTGTAACAACAAAATAATAAGTAAAAGGACCCGAACTGATATTTTGTTGTCGTCGTTATTTGAAAACTCACTACCTCAGAGTATTTTTAATCTTGCAGTATATGCTTAAAGTGAGGTCAACACTCAACAACTAATGAGATCGGCGTTTTCACACTGTTTTATTCTATCTCACACCTCTGTAATGGTTCTTGAGAAGTGTCCAGCACACACTGTTTCCAAGGGTGGATGAGAACAATTTTCAGCTTGTGATTCAGCACAAAATAGGTAATTTAAGTCTTTGCAAAGGGATGTTACAGTTTTTCATCACCAGAGAACAAACATGTCCTTTCAGCCTGAATGGCTTACTTTAGACAAATGGAAACAACAAAGACAGGAATGAACAAATCAAAAAGACCAAAGAGGGAGCACTGTGACACACACTGAGACTTGGCTCAGCAGCAGTCTGGAGTGTGAGGTAGCAGGTTTGCTCTAAAAGAAGCAGCATGCAGAAAACTGCTCTTCATTGACTTCTACTGCACAGACACCAAAGGGAAGAACAGCTGGCTTTAGGAGAACAATACACAGAGAAGTGTGTGGTTAGTTCAGGGGAATTGTGGTTGTGGCAAGCGTGGCACAGTGCAATTAAGACATTGCAAGTCCTTCACTAGGACAAACTAATTCTGGAAGTTTCTAACCTGTTCTTTTTTACGGCCACCATGACTGAGAAAGAAAACAAACAAACAAACAATCACGTTTGCTTACAGAGCAGGCTAACAATGCACTGCAGTTAAAGTCTGTGTGGTACCTGGTGAGACTAGTTATCTGTCTGTCTAATGGGATGTATAGAAATCTCTCACAAGTGTGAGAAAAGACAATAGAATTAGATGATTGAAAAGATTCAGGTGATGGAATTAAAACTAATGGACCCCAGAAGTGATTTTTTTTTTAAATTTTCTTTTAAAATTGTAATTTAAAATTAATCTTGCTCATTATTCATTCTTAATAATACAGTACTGACTATTGAGTTTCATAGTACAGGTGTTAATGGGTGCCGTGAAGTAATTTTGGGCTGGACACAGTTGGAATCAATTACTAGTTATATTATAAAACTGTGCTCAATGTCAGCAGTGAGAGTGATTATTTAAACTGGCAAGCTTTGATATTGATGCTTTACTGGCTGCTCAGTGCAGAGTTACTTGCAGAGTTCCTCACCTCAGAAGAGGTGCATGTCTCTGTAGACTGAAGTTAGAAAAGAGCATAGACTCTCCATTTTCAATGACTCTTCTGAAGAAGTCACTGAAGGTAGCAGTGACCTCTTCTACTGTAGTTAACTGAGAAATCAAAATAGTATTTGTGTAAAAGGGTATTGTTCTCCTCTTTTGCAAGGAAAACCAAAGTGTCATAATGTAGATAACTGAAAAAAAGATGACAGCTGAACTTGCCTTCAGGTTTGCTAGTAAAATGTATCCAGAGTTCAGTGCTAAATTATACTGCCCCTCTTCACCTTAACTTTTAGGGCTAAGAAAATCTAGTTTAAGACCTGGAGAACAATACAAACTAGACAAAATTACGTCTGCAGAGACCATTTATTTTGAGCAACTACTAAAATTGTGAGCTTCAAGAAGTGAAGGCTATCAAGGCAGTTAACCCTCAAGAAGTGTAAACTCTATTCACAGCAGTAGATTCCAGGATACTCTGTAGAACTTACGCCCAGACAGTGTTGCCATGCAAGAGCAAGGAAGCGGAATTCTCACTGAAGTTCGGGAACCCATTCAGGAGCATAGAGTTTGTGATTACAATTCCTTTAGGACAGAAATACTTCACATGAGTTTATGAAAAATTGTGATATTTGAGCCTTACACCTGCTACATTTAGATTGGTAGCAACTGATTTTGCTACATTCTAGTAAGTTTTCTAAAGTAGAAATGTATGAGATACCAGGATCATGCACAGCCTATAGTAATGCCATTATAATCCAGGCTGTGTCATCAAAGGTACTTATGTCATCGGTATCTCTTTTTGGCTTTACCTAAGGGAAAACCCCTGACTAACTTAGCAGATACTTTCTTATGGGGTCTAACATGGCTTGATCTGAAAAAGTAACTGCTATCTGGGAAAATATTTCTCACAGTGAGAGACTGTCAGGCCCAATCTGGTTCTTTGCTGCCTCTGCATAAGTAAGTGCTTACGTAGTACTCCTACAATTTAGGCTACCGTTCTTTGTGGTATTCTGTGGTTCCCTGTATTTAGGCCATTAGAGTTTATTCATTAATTAGGCTGACAGAAAAACAAGTGTCTGTGTAGGTTCTCTGTTACTTTTTCAGTTTGACATTTAACCCCCACCTGAAGTAGAAACTACTGTGACATGCAGGGAACAAGCTAGAAGGCATCAGAACCTTACAGAAGCTACTGAATCTACTCTTCAGATGCGGGCTTACTGCTGACAGGCAGTCAGTAAACAAGCAAAGTAAACAAGCAAGGAAGGAAAGAACAGGTGGAGAACAGCAACAATAATTATATTAGTTCTTGAAAATCTGGGAAAACAGAGTAGTCCCTATAAAGATGAGTATTAACCATTGCCTTGGAAGGCTGCTGTGCCACAGACTCACTTCACTTACTTCCAAAATACATTGTTTTTCACTTGCCCTTTCATATATTCTGATAAAACTCTTACCTCCATTTATACTGACAGGACAAATGGCAGTGTGTATGCTTAAATATGGTTGCTTAAATATAAACAGTATATTATCAGTTTGTCTTGCAATTTCAATCCTGGACTGAAAAAGAGCTCGAAAGAGGAGGCACTTTCCCTGATCCCACCTCCTTGTACAATTCCTCCAGAAGGGAGGAGATTGGGAAATTTTGTGGTTTTTTTTTTTTTCTTTTTTCCTGATACTATATACCCATTTATGAGCTGTGTATCTGCTAGGGGAGACATTCTGGAGAAATGCATGTGCTGCACTGTTCATTGGACAAGCTGCCAGTGGACAACTCTTGATGGCAGTTAAAAAACAATCGGTGGTGATCTCAGTATTACTGAGCACCTGGAGCATGAAGTCTCTCAGCCAACATCTTAATGTTTACAGACACAGAAAGATCACAGGTTTGTGGTCCTTGGTTTTATGCAAAAAGAACCCCACTTGACTGAAGTTCATATTGGTTTTACTTGGTAGATGCTGCCAAGCTCAGATAATCTGTTTTTTATGCTCATTTTCCTAGCTACCCCTCCTGAAACACAAAATATGCATGTAACTTCAACTTAGTGAGTGCAAAGAGCATCACTGAAATAATACTTTTACATCATTACATCATTTACATCAGCAGTGCTCTGTTGTTGCCAAGGGAAGCATGACAGTTTACTTGGAATGTGAACATGTTAACATATATAAACACGTATGTGTGTATGTATAATTATATAATAGTATGTTATAATAACTAGTGTGCATCTTGTAGTCAGCTGCAACTTTAAACTTAGATTTAAATGTGGTAGGGAACTTTATTACTTATCATATTGCCACAAGAACTAGCAATATATACTGTTGTTCAATAAGCACAAGTGAAATTTAAGGAAAATAAAAGTGAACTTTTTCTTGTCTTCTCACTAATTCTTGCTGCTCTAGACCACAACAGAATTCTTCCTCACAGCACCATGCAATTAATTTTGAAGTAGTAATATTTAAAGTCTAAATGCAGTGATTTTCTGCATGCATACATTCAATTAACTAAATATCAATGAGTAAATGCATCCTTTTTAGTTACAACTATAAAGCTAAGTTCTAAGCATAGTGCACTACCATACAAATAGTTAAATTTACATTTTATATAACATACTATTATGTAAACATCTGGTTGCAGTTACACAAAAAGATAGCGTTGTACTAAGTATTTAGGAAAATGGTATTCTACTTTAATTTATGGATACCAGTACAGTGTTCCCTCTTGACCATTTTAATTATTACTTTAATTTAGGCTTCTCATGAGTAGTTAATCACAGCTTTTCTGTAGGTCTTTATCAACAGAGGCTGCTGTATATGAGCATCAATGATACAAAGCGTTATTTGTGTCATTTGTATTCTTCCCATATCAGCCTTTCTAAAATCCTGGAACCCAGCATCCCAGTACCAATTTTATTGTATCTCTAACAGCTATTTATTTGCTTAACTGTACTCTGATAAAGAAAAATAGGAAAGAATCAGACCCCTTCCACACTGGAATGAATAGCTAATATATAAAATTATTAAGCCAGGAAGAAACCTACTGACAGGTATTTTTATTTTTTTTTCTTAATAATGCAATACATTTTTCTGGAGCAGCAAACATAAGAAAAAAGGTCGAGACAAGTGAAAAGACATTGCTGTACTATTTTTAGCATTTCATGCTCAAGATGAAGGCATTTGTTCTGAAATATTTAAGGATGCTATTTTAAAATCTTTCTTTTCATAGTAAGATCACAACATGCTCACCAGTGCGCAGATTTATGATGCCCAAAGAGAAGCATGCATGAAGTACTGACAGGAAGATTAGTAGCTTAGAAAGAGATTTACAAAGAGGCAACAAACTAAAGCTTTTGCTGGCACTTAAATACTATTTCAGCATTAAGATGGCTTGCAACACATCAGAGCTACTTACTAGAGTGTCTGAAGTGGTAATTCTGGTGGTGTTTAGTCCTACCAGAGATGGGAGAATTTGGGACATCCAGTTAGAGATCATTGCCATGGTACTAAGGACAGCACCAAGCTTCAGCAGTGGAGGACTCATTGCTGTGGAGCTAATGAGTTTTCATAGTGACTGATTATCATCCCAGTGCAGGCTGGCAGTGAGAGGCATGACTGCAGCACAACAGCCACAGCATGAAAAATCAAGCTACCCAGCTTGAATAATCCATTAAAAAACCTCACATCCTTATTTGCCCTCTGTCCTTCTGCTCTTACTAACAAATACTTCTATCTCATGTTGACCACTTAGTAAACTAGTTTCTATGCTAATAATAATTGGAATTTCCAGTGGGAGATGGCATAGGG